ACTCTCCCGCGGGCAGCGGATTGCCCAGTTGGCAGATCACTAAAAATGTGCTCCCCCGCTAGCAGCGGGTTACCTGATTGGCAGCTCACTTGAAACGTACTCTCCTGCTGGCAGCGGGTTGCATGATTGGCAGTTCTCTGGAAATGTACTCTCCCGCTGGCAACGGATTGCCCAGTTGGCAGAGTACTTAAAATGTGCTCCCCCGCTAGCAGCGGGTTACCTGATTGGCAACTCACTTGAAATGTACTCTCCCGCTGGCAGCGGGTTGCCTGATTGGCAGTTCACTTGAAATGTACTCTCCCGCTGGCAGCGGATTGCCCAGTTGGNGGCAGTTCACTTGAAATGTACTCTCCCGCTGGCAGCGGATTGCCCAGTTGGGAAATCACTAAAAATGTGCTCCCCCGCTAGCAGCGGGTTACCTGGTTGGCAGCTCACTTGAAATGTACTCTCCTGCTGGCAGCGGGTTGCCTGATTGGCAGCTCACTTGAAATGTACTCTCCCGCTGACAGCGGGTTGCCTGATTGGCAGTTCACTTGGACCGTGCGTGTCTGCGAACGCGTTGAGCACAACGCACTCACTCCCTCCGAACATGGACACCGGTCAGTTGAACCTCTTGAGGGCTGTGCATGCCTAACACACTCTCTGAAAAAGACTCCCCCCTCTGTTCTCCCTGCCTCTCTCATCGACTTTTCCACGTCTCTCCTCACCGTCTCTCACTCTCGGGTTCAGACTCTCGCACACACCGCCATCACAACAGCAGCTGCAGCTCACGAACGGCACGGGTTCTTTAGACACGCCGCACCTCCTACTGCGTGTGGGCGGAGAACGCCTTGCACGTCTCTCCTCACCGTCTCTCACTCTCGGGTTCAGACTCTCGCACACACCGCCATCACAACAGCAGCTGCAGCTCACGAACGGCACGGGTCCTCCAGACACGCCGCACCTCCTACTGCGTGTGGGCGGGGAACGCCTTGCACGTCTCTCCCTCTGATCCACACGAGCATCCCCCCACACCTTTCTCGAGTTGCGAGGTGGGCCGGGTACGCCTTGCCCGCCTCCTTCAATGCCTCCCCGTCTGAAATCCCCCTAGCTGTTCGGTGACCTTCCCTATATGATTCCAGTACCAGAGGCTGCAGCCTCAAGTGAGCACCGTCCCGGCTAACTTTGTCACCCCCAAGCTCTGTMCCAGCGGGTCTCGAGGCCTGTTAGCAAGTAGTGGGTGGTACCCGCCCCATAATTCAGAAAAGGTACCACCATAATCCGATATACCACGGCAGCAGCTTTGCTGCTATCACATCGGCGTCCAGTGGTAAGATAATGGGGCCAGATTTCATGACGCGGCACCAGTCCCATACCAGCGACCACCGAGTCCAACACTGAACCTGAACCAACCCGTCTTGAGCTGCAGTGACTGGCGCCATTTCATTTCCGGACGGATACCGAACCTAAAWTCAATGCAGCAACACGCATCACACCGACGCGGAGCTGATAATTACGTCGATGTCGTACCTRGGGTTTYCACTCGTTGTCGCTGTGACTCATACCATACCTAGGCCGAACCGGAACCAAGTCTGGGACACGTCGAATATCGAGCTAATGTTGAGCCTGAAAAATGTCGGAGTCGTACCAATACCGAGCCTGAAATAGGTAAATTACCGTACAACGCCGCAAT